AACGTATTTTTGCAGAAACAAAGTTAAAATTTCGTTATCGATAGCAATTAATACGTGCATATATGCATAAGTGATCCCTTGCATGCTCTAGTTTAATTTTGCTTGCATTTTAGCAGTACAGAGGCTACGAAGGAGAACTTACTCGAGGACCAAATTTCCTCAGATTACCTACTCAAGATCGAAAGGTATATCTCCTTCAATGTTTCCTATTCAACAAAATAATACGATTAATGTAATAAAAATGTTTTTCTTTATCCATCAGATGTTAAGATAATGGAGAAATATGTATATGAAACTGACATTCTAATTGTCGGTGGCGGTCTAGCGGGATTATCGGCAGCTATTCAGGCCCGTAGACTGGCTGAGAAACATGGTAAGGAACTCAGGGTTACCCTTGTTGAAAGGTGGGAAAAAAAAGGTTACTCTGTTTGCTACGGTGCTAATAATGCTTGTCTGAATCCGATTGCTTTGAACGAGCTCTTTCCAAATTGGAAAGAATTAAATGCGCCATTAAATACTCCTGTTACGGAGGATAAATTTGTATTTCTCACGGAAAAGAGGAAGATATCTATACCTATTTTCAAAAGAATGCCAATGTCTAACCATGGAAATTACATAGCAATGTAAGTCGAAATTTAATGCAATCATAAATTTGTTTTAATAAAGGCTATATAGTATTTGTTTCAGTTGTAAAAATTTGTATGTCTCTGTATAGATTAAGCGACGTAGTGATGTGGCTTGTCGAGCAAGCAGAAGCCGCTGGTGTCGAGATATGTTATAATCGCTCAGCGATCAAAGTTTTATTTCACGAGGATGGATCTGTTAAAGGAGTACAGACCGAATATTTTTCTGATTTTGAAATTGATCTCTCCTCATCTGTAGATCTCATACCTAGTTGTACGTACAGGGATTTTCATGCGAGATGTACCATATTTGCGTCAGGCTCTCCGTTGGACAACCATCTGATGGAAGACTTATCAAAGAAATTTAATCTTAGTAAAGATTGTAAGCCACAGACGTATTGTCATGTATCCAAAGAGGTAATTATATTGTTATATTAAAAAAAAAATTAAAATTATACAAAAATGTTTTACATTTTAAAGTAACATATATTTTTTGTAAGGTTTGGGAGATAGAGCCAAGCAAGCATCGACCTGGAGTAGTGGAACATACGGTTGGTTGGCCACTTGAAAGAGGTGCATATGGTGAAGCGTATTTTTACCATTTGAATGAAGAAACACCTCAGATAGCAACAGGTTTTTTCATGCAGTATAATACTTTTTATGCTCTGGAGAAGGAGTTTAAGAAGATCAAACAGCATCCTGGTATCAGACCAATATTTGAAGGAGGGAAAAAGTTGGTGTCTTTATATATATGTATAATACGAGATTTTAATTGCATTATTTTGTACTTTCTATTTTTGCTTCTCGTAATTTCAGTATTTCAAATTATTACACTTATGAAAGTAGTTTGGAACAAGGTGGATTTCAATCTATTCCAAAACTTCAGTTCCCTGGTGGTTGTCTTACTGGAAGTACTGCAAGTTTTATAACCGTACCTCAATTTAAAGGAACTCACCATGCCATGAAAAGTGGCATGTTGGCTGCAGAAAGCGTTATTGAGGCGATTATAGATGCAGAAAGTAATACCTCACCGACCAAAGGCTTAGAACCGAAAACGTATACAGATAAAGTAAAAAATAGTTGGATCTATAAGGAATTGAAAGCTGTAAGAAATATGAAGCCCAGCTTTAATTCTTCCTTCGGTTTTAACGGCGGTTTATTTTACTTTGGGTTCTCTATGCTACTAGGCGGAAGGGAGCCGTGGACTTTGTCTCACTTTGACTCACAGAAGTAAGAACGAAGGTTCTAAGCATGGAGGTAAGAAATAACAGGAGGGAGCATATTCCCCCGCGGCCTGGCTAAGCAGACGTAAGGGGGGAACATTACAAAACGCCATATTACTGTGGCCAACCAATCACATTTGGGTAGTAATCCCGAACTCCAATGAAGTTTGTATAAAACGCCATATTACTGTGGCCAATCAATCACATTCGGCATAGTAATCCCCACCAACAAAAAGGCCTTACACTCCCTCCTGTTATTTCTTACCTCCATGGTTCTAAGTAAGAGGGGAGGAGACTCAACTCCGCTAAGAAAAGTGTGCCAGTTTCATCCGCCAAATTGAGAGGGAATCTGCTGATCGGGATAACTTTAGTTGGATGGACGCCATTTGCAATATTAGTCTTATCTCACTTTACCTATTGTTTGTCGGGTTTATACGAATTTTTGTCTGGTGTCTCCCGGTGTTTAATTATATTTTCGTGCGTGTGAATATATACAATGAGATTGCAGTGATATCATGTTGGATTCGTTGATGCACTGCGAAAGGAAACAAAATACAACGGCATTACATATATTGACAGTACGTATCTTTACAATTAAAAAAATACTGCTGTACTAACTGTGCGAGGTTTAAAAAGGCTACTTCTTTTCCGAAGCATCTTTTTTTCTTTCTTTTTCCCACCTACAAATCCAACATGCATCTCTGGAATCTCGTTGTATGTATTCACATACACGAAGATATAAAACGAGAGACACCATCAATAGATAAAGTGAGATAAGACTATTATTGCAAATGGCGTCTATTCAACTAAAGTAAGGTACTATAAGATGTAGGTATTCCTATCCGCCATCTTGGTTCCAATTGGTTAAATAGTTACTTTCTATTTTCACATAAATGATACTGAATCTAAAGTTATGTGAGTATTTTTATACTCAGATAATGATGTTATTACTTATTTACTTTAAATAGAAAGTTATTGAGCGTAAAAGTATAGGTTTATACCTCATTTTTAATATGAATTAATAGACTCAGTAAAGCATACGTTTCGAGCTTTATGCAGATTGTAAGTAAAAACTCAGTTGAATCTTACTTATTAGAATAAAAAGGAATGTTCAACTGAGTATATTCAACTGAGTTATGACATTACCAGGGGTTGGTCGTATTTAAAATAACATTATTTAAAATATGTGTTTTAAATAACAAAAAGTAAAAGAGTTATTTAGTATTTATTATTTTAAAAAGCCTCTTCTGATCTATTTTATATTTTAAA